CTGGGGAATTCTGGGAGTTGAAGTCCACACATCTTCAAGTTGTCAAGGTTGAGGAACCCTGCTCTAATGGTAATAGATTAATGCTGGAGTTGGTGAGAAGAGCCGTTCTGACTTTGCCCTTCCCTTTCCACCTGTCTGGTCTTCCTCCCTCCCTGCAGGGTTCCCCAACGTGGGCAAGTCCTCTCTCATCAATGGGCTTGTGGGCCGCAAAGTGGTGAGCGTCTCCCGCACTCCTGGCCATACCAAGTACTTCCAGACCTACTTTCTTACGCCCATGGTCAAGTTGTGCGATTGTCCTGGGCTCATCTTCCCGTCTCTTGTTGAGAGGCAACAGCAGGTAAGTTTAGTTTTTTACACTAATAACTTGATTAAGTTTTGAGAAAGAAACAATAAAAACCAACAAGAACTAATATTAAGAAAAAGAAGAAAAAAAGAAAAGGTGAAAAGAGAGAAAATAGTAAAGATTAAAAGTGCAAAAAGGAAAAAGAAAGAACAAAAGGGAAGACAGAATTGACTTCCGACCCTTGTCACAACAGATAGAAGTCACAATATACATCCAACTCTTACTCTAAGTTTAAAAAACAACATCCACTATTTCTATTAATCCATGTTATTTCTAATCATCAAATCCATACAACAGAACTTCATTTTTTTTCAGTAACTTGCAAACGCAGGTAAGAGTTTGGGATGGGGAAAGGTTTGGGGGGAGCAAATTGGCTGCTGGTGTGGATCTGTATTCTGAGAGCTGGAAGGAAACGAGGACTCTTAGAAAAGGAAAAACGCCGGTAAAGGCTTTCCTCTCCAGGGTGAATAGCACTTGGGATGTAGTTGAATATAAATATGAACCGTGTTTCTGTCACACTCTCATGCTGTGGGAGTACATGCTTGAAAGATTGTGAATAGACACATAAAGGATTGAATGTAGGAAGCTCCCTTACATTGTTATTCCATGTCTCTGCTGAGCAATAACATCTGTCTAGGCTCCAGAAAGGAGTTTCTCCAACCCAGCCTAGAGAATCCAAGGACTGAATTTTCTTCCAACTCATGGTGCAGAATCCAAGATAGTGAGAATGTTAAGTGATTTGCCTAGGGCTCCTTCACGTGCAGGTATTCTAATCACTATTCGCCCATTGTTCGATCAGTCAACCGATTCTGGTAGAGAGTATTGCTGATGACTCTTCTCTGCAATACAGCTGTGGAAATGTCAGATTTGATTCCCAAAAGATGCTTCGACGTTTGCAGGGGCACAGACATATCGCTGATCTGCAACTATGTAAAGTCACCATGTCTTTTCTCAGACTTGTCCACCTTCCCTCTGTGGTCAACCCTTTAAAGGCACAATTGCTGTAAAGAATTGCAGACAGGTGCTTCATTGATGCTTTTATGGGCTTTGAAGCACCTTCCTTGAACTGCAGCTGAAGGGCTTCCCGGCCCTAGTTTGCTAATTGGAGAGTTCGTTTGTGATTCCTATGTTAGTGTGGTATAGTGATGATAATTGCAGTTGAAGGCAATTAGCATTCAAACATCTCCAGTCTCTGGGAGATTGAGATCTACTAAGTATTTCTCACCCTTATCTATGTCTTCTTAAATTATTGTGAATATGAAAGGAAGACCATCAAGTGTGCTTCTCTAACTCCTTGACAGAAGGCTAAGGAAAAATGAATGAGTGGTCATTAAATCTGAAAAAGCCCACTTATATTGCTGATGCCTCTGGATCTGAGTGATGAACATATGAGTGTGAATTTACTAGAAAGAGCTTACAAGACAATTGGAAGGTCTCAAGTACCGTGCCTCCAGAGTCTCTCTCAGCCCAGGAAGGCTTGTATAAGGCTGCTTTAGTGTATTTCTGCAGAGACAGACTAGGAGGCATGCAGGGAGTTTTATGATGGAAAAACTTCATGCCCTGTTCGGTGATGGTTGCAGGAGGATGTCTCTTCCCTTGTTAAAATCGGTATTCTGCTCATCAGACTACATTGCCAGGCAGGGAATGTTTCATGGCTATAGATGAGACACCCAGATACCCTTTGGTGAGAGGACCACAAACCTGGATCTCCTGTATTGGGCCACCTGCTAAGAAAATGAAAAATCAGAGACTTTGTTTCGGAGGATCTATTATGCAATTCATGGGTGTTAGTTGGAAGAGAGACAAGATGACTCAGTGTTGCTGATAACTGGAAAGATGAGTCTTGTGCTGTAGGAGATGATGTCTTGAGCTAGGGTTTTGTCTTTTGTAACAAGTATATCTTCCCCTCTCCTTTCTTCCAGTTTCTGAGTCTGCCAACCACTGCAGAGTAAATCAGATTGCAGCCCCTGGCAAACGATAGATCTTTTTTTTTTATTTTCAGATATTGGCTGGTATCTACCCTATTTCCCAGATCCAGGAGCCCTACACTTCTGTGGGGTACCTGGCCAGCCGGATTCCAGTTCAGGCCTTGCTCAAGCTGCGGCATCCGGACGCTGAACACAGCAAGCCTGAACCCCCTTGGTGTGCCTGGGATGTGTGTGAAGGTAACGTTGTTGAAGCAACAACATCTCAGCTGAGTTGAGAGCTCAACGTGGCTCTAACCCCCACATCCCCTTCCCTGTCGTTTCAGCCTGGGCTGAGAAACGAGGTTACAAGACAGCAAAAGGAGCCCGCAATGATGTTTACCGAGCAGCCAACAGTCTTCTACGCCTTGCAGTCGACGGGCGGCTCTGTGTTTGCATGCGACCTCCAGGCTACACATCACAGAAAGGTCTCCAGCAAGAAGCCACTCTAGCAGTTTCTCCAGCACTTCCAAAGGGGAGAGGGTCACCCTAGCCTGGTGTTCTTCAGATAGATGGGACTTCTGTAATCTCCAAGGAGTCCAGCATGTCTGGCAAGCTCCAGGCTGAGGAAAACTGGTCAAGGGAAATGGGCAGGAGTTGTGAAGGACTCACATCTAGCTGGCTTGAATCATGCATAAGTGCTGGAGAGCGTTACTGTGTCCTGATAGAATCTCACTTGCTTTTCTCGATACTGGTATAGAGTCCTATTTCACATGCATTAATTGTATGAGCAGCATCGTGCTTAGCTGCCAAGCATGAAGGAGATCCATGCAAGCGGTGGGAGTAGCTTCCATGAAGTTCCTTAATGTCTATTTTCTGGATGTCTCTGTGTTGGGATGGCTGTGATTTGGGCCATGCTAGCAAAATCTCAGAAATGAATATTAAGAGTGAGCACAGAGTGGAATTTGTGTGCAGAGAGTTAAAGGTCCAGCATCCTGTCCTGTTTTATTTATATTATACTATTTTATTTGTATTTATTATTCAGTGTGTACCCCACTTTCAGGGTTAAACCAACACTCAACGTGGCGTGCAGCAATCATAGAATCATAGGGTTGGAAAGGACCTTGGAGGTCTTCTAGTCCAACCCCCTGCCCAAGGCAGGAGCCCTCATGGTATCTCGGACAAATGGTTGTGCAATCTTTTCTTGAAAACCTCCAGCGATGGAGCATCCACAACTCCAGGAGGCCAGCTGTTCCACTGCTTAGTAGTTCTCACTGTCAGGAAATTCCTCCTTATTTCCAGGCTGGATCTCCTTCGGATGAGCTTCCACCACCCACTGCTTCTTGTCCTACCCTCAGGTGCTGTGGAGAATAAATTGATGCCCTCTTCCCTGTGGCAGCCCTTCAAGTATTGGAAGACTGCTATCATATCAATCAAAATTTAGCTAACAGTATAACCGATGCAATGAAAACCAAAACCAAATTTACGATCAGCTTTCAAAATAATCAACAATTAACTGCTTGGCAAAAGAGATGCCATTTTTGCCATCTTCCTAAATGCCGGGACTATTAGGAGCATATTATGCATAATGATTTATGCAAAATATGAGCATAAATGCTGAACTATGCTCTGCCCTTTTGTGCAGGAGAATGGACTCATTGCAGAGCTGATCAGACTTTGGGATGGCAGAGGGCTTTTATTTTTAACTAGAAATCATGGCTTAGGCTAGAGGACGTCCCTGTCGCCTATTCCTGGCCCTGCTTTGTTTCTGACAGTTCTGCTTTGTTCTCTGCAGCCATGTGGGAGCATCACCTTGAGACAGCCGAGATTGCAGCTTTGCAGGAGGCTCGCCGCCGAGAAGGCAAACACAGCTCTGCTGAGGAAAACGAGGGGGAGGAAGAAGAGGAGGATGAGATCTCCAGCTCGGGAGAGGAGGAGGACGAAGAGAAAGACCGGGATGCTGATGAAGAAGGCGAAGAGGAAGAGGAGCCGCTTTCTGCACCCAAGAGTGGGGCCGGCCAGCCCGTTCCCCCCAGAAAGGGAAAGTTGGCCACCCGGAACTTGTTCGCTTTGCTTGGGGAGGATGAATGTTAGTCACTTCCCCTGTTGGACTACGGGGTGGGCGATAAACTTGCCCAGCCCAACCCAGCCGCCCTCTCGCCCTGCTGTGCATTCCCCAGCTCTGGAGCCGCTGTATATCAATAAAGGTGATGTTTATTTCCTGGCCCACTTTTGTGGCTGTGGGGAGGCGAAGGGTTAGCAATTAGGAACCAGGAGAAGTCCATGGTCCATCTTGCTCCGAACTCTTGTCGTAGTTGCTGGCTGGGAGATGCTGGGGCGCCTACAAGCAGTACAGTCAGCTGTTGCCCACCACTGGTGGGGGGGTCTGACCGCTGCCCGAGATCAGATTCATTCTCATCCTTTTGTGATCCAACCAGGATCATAAGCACATTCAGCAAAAATAGCCCCAAGTCTAAAGAAACAGTAAGTTTTGCAAAAGTACAACAGTCTTTAGGAAAAAAGTGTATTGGAGGGAAGGAACTTTCATAACACCACCCAAAGTGAAAACAGTGAAAACAGAGTCTGCTGTGGGTAGAGAATACTGGCTTCTCCAGGTGGGGCAGGAAAGAGGTGGGATGGCATTCAGACTGAAATGTTTACACCACCCTGTCCTCCTGCAGATTTCACTTACATTGTCTTCCATGGCAGTTATTATGTTTAATATGTATATCCATTGTTCAGTTTATGGAAGAGAGATTTGTCTGTGGTGGCCACTACCACATAATCTAACTATCTTACAAATTTAGGGCAAGCTATGTGGATAAAAGCCTCCATCACAAATGATGAAATCCCAACATTCGGCCTGATGGCCAAATGAGGCTGAATGAATGAATGTATACTTTACTGCAGTCTTAGACCAGAATATGAACTGAAAATCAACAGGAAGCACAGAATAATGGGTCAAGTGATAATACGTTAAGTCTGTGTATTTAGATTTTTTAAAAATTCAAAATTCGTGTGAATCCATTTACATCAGTCCTGTGGGAGTTACAAGAGTGTGAAATGGAGTTAAATCCTGCTATCCCCCCCCAAGTTACAACCAAACCAAACCAGAGACCATCACTCGCTATGGTCTGTGCCCATGACTATCCGGGACAATCAGAACAGAAACTTGTTCTGTTCATATTTGAGCAGTTTTCCCCAAGTGCCTTCTCCAATGCCTTGGGTTCCTACTCTCATTGTCCCCAGCAGGCAATATCAGTGTCGTAGTCCAACTCAGCCGGAGTGCCACAGGTTAGGAACAGCTCCATTAGTGGCTGCAAGAGCTCGCAGTCGCCCTTTGCCAGCACAAGTGGACCAACTCTTTGACTTATCTAAAGCAGTGTTTCTCAACCTCAGCAACGTTAAGATGTGTGGACTTCCATTCCCAGAATTCCCCAGCCAGCATTCTGGCTGGGGAATTCTGGGAGTTGAAGTCCACACACCTTAAAGTTGTTGAGGTTGAGAAAAACTGATCTAAAGGGTAAAATGAAATTTAACAGCAGATGGAACTCTTGGATGGGTTCTGTCTCTACATATATCCTATTGTAAGAGCAAGAAATGAAAAGGAGAGATGTATATGGCTTTGACCGTGTGTTTTGAATGAAGAAGGCCTCATTTCTGCACCTTGGTGTTTCTAATAAAAGGGTTTTACAGCTGAGGGTTGCCTGATCCTTTACCTGCTGAGAGCTGTTGGTTACCTGCTCCTAATCTTTAGATGCATATGCAGAAAGGTCCGTGCACTGGGGTGTTTGGGCAGGATGTTCACGTGCCGTATATGTATGACTCATACAAAGGGCAACATTTAATGATACAAAAAGAGCCTCAAAGTATTTTTGCGGTATAAAAGGAATGAAGAAAAGATGTTTTCTTTGGTAATAAAGAGGATAGGATTAAGGTAAGGTGTTGCACACCTCCAGGGCCACTAACCCTGTCTCCCTACTGACCGGACAATGATGCATTGTGCAAGAAAGTCAATGAGATTTTTCTCTTCCTCCAAAGGATATTCTTGTTGTGGACTCACCTGTTACAAAGGGTCTCAACTTCCAAGGGTTTTGTGGGTTGGAAGGACTTTTATGCAGGTGGAAGCTTGTGCTGAATTATTGTCTGAAAGTTCTGCTGAGCATCCAACCCCTGGAGCACCACTGGAGCTGGAGAAGAAAGGATTTCTACCAAACACATTAAGAAACATCTACCTGTGATTGGATTCACACAGCATAAACCATAGTGTGGGCCTTGTCTCTCACCTGATTCACTTATTTTACTTGGCTGTTAGCATGGTGTGTTTGGTTTTGGTTTAACGTGTCATGTATACTCAAGCAACAATAGCTTATTCAATGAACCATGGTTAAACAAATCATGGCTTAATGTGATTTATGAATCTGAGAGATTACCTGCCAATGTTCAGCAAAACAATTTAGCAAAAAATGTTAAAATGTGTTTTTTAAAAAAATACTGAATTACAACTTCCATCCTACCCTAACCACTGGACATGTTGATTAGAAATAGGAGTTGGGAATCCACTTACAAGGAAGGTCATAGGCTTTAAAGCCAACTTTCAACATAAAACACAGGTAAACAAGCAAAGGTGTTATCTTTTTAAAAAAAATAGATTACATTTTTTTTTGCATTGAAATCCAAGATTACTTTTTTTAAAAAGCTTCATTAGCATTGAGATACAGAATTAAAATATACATCTACAACCAGGGCATAGCAACATTTTGAAAGCATTACTGATCGTGTTCCAGTTCACTGTAAAATAAGGCAGCAGAAGCAGGCCTTAGTTAAGCAGCAACAGCCTAGAAATTTTCCTGCTATATTTAGAAGGTTCTTGTACCTTTAACAAAATGAAGAATTACAACAAAATAGACAAGTGGACCCAGGAAGAAATCAGGCATTTTACTCCTAGTGTTGGAGTGATGGGACATATTCCACATAGGATGTTGAAGGACTTTCAAGTGCAGGACTTCCATTGTCCACAATCTTCCCAAACTGGAGCCCCCAGAGGCATCCCATGAGGAGGGGTTCAAAAGCTCAAGATGGTCATCATGATACCTCAATGGAAGTCCTGCTCCTTTATACACCTACAAAAGGGGTGGGACTTCAATCATGCCCACTATCCTAACTTTTTTGACCCTCCCTGTGGATGCTGCTGGATGCCCCTGAGATGTAAGTCTCTCACATCACCCACGTGACATGACAGCGGGAGAGGAGGGGAGCTGTAATCCAGTGAGTCTACAAGATGCCAAATTAAAGAGGACTTTTTAAAGGAGTATTTGGTGCAAGGACAGCTGTATCAGAGAACTCCAACGCGGGCAAAGTTTCCATTAATCAAGGTGATCTTTTAAAAAAAATATTCCGATGAGAGATTTGGAAATCACTTATGAATATCTAATATTAAGATATTAGTATTAGCCTTTGGACTGGAAGTTTTTTGAATGCTGCTTTCCTTCTATGATCCAAGTAAGCTTTCATCTCAGAAACAAGACACCTTTGCAGCCATAATTAAGCAGCTTAAATCACATACACACACACACACACACACACACACACACACACACATGCATATATGTGCTTCCTTACTATCATATTGAAGAAATGTATCTATAATCCCCTCATAACATACTCCCCCAAATAAGTGCACTTGGCTGCTAGTATTTTAAAACATAATTATTGCATGTTGGCAGAGGTTAAAACACTATGATTAAAAATCATTGTGGCAAAAGCTCAGTAAAAGCTCATTTGAAATAAATAAAAACGTGCTGTTAATTTTTAAAGGAGGAGCTTTTTGCATGAGCAGAGCATGAAAGAAAGAAAGGGGAGTAACATCCCCCATTTTTCACCCAGAAAAGGCCGCTATGCTCTTAAAAACAGCCAAATCCCAACAAACGGCCCTTTTCCAGAGCCGGACACGTTTGTTTAACCAACTGCTTGCCTGCCACGCAAGCATCAAATCCAGAGCCTGCCAGGAAAAAAAGCCAACTGTAGCTAGACTTCAGTCATTACTAAGGATTCTCATTAGAGTAAGTGAGAAAACTTCATGGTCCAAATGAATCTCCTTAATACTCTAGGCTGGGATCAACCCAGGCATCAGTCATTCCAGCCTCCTCCCATAAACTAAACGGCACCTCCATGCCATGATCTAGCAATACAAATGGAACTTAGTGTGTTTCAGTCCAGACTTTCCCAATTTGACATTCTTCAAACATGTTGGACTAAACCTCCTACCATCTCCATCTACTACCGCTATCGAGGACAATGGAGTTCCAGTCCATAACATCTGGAGAACACCAGCTTAGGAAAGATTTTTTAAGGAGTTACAAGAGACTGGGTCCACTGGATGCCAGAACTCATAATTTTTCTGGTAACCCACCAAGTCCTGTATGTGTAAAAACATGACCAAGATAAGATGTGGCGTATCATTCAGTGCTTTGCAAGCAGGGACCTGGCAGCCAGACCCCCCCAAAAAGCCAGACCCCCCCCACAGCAACCAAAACTGGTACCTATCCACACCCTTGCTCAGTTGTCCTTGTAGTCTGAGGGGCCATTTTGAGCCAACAAGCCCCCATAAGCTGCCTCTTCCCGGGAGAAGATCTGGAACTTCTTGTCCAGCTGGGCACGGAGGTAGAGGTAATCTTGGTGATCAAGGCTGTGAGCACAGGTAAGATAGACTGTGAAGAGGAAGGCCAGAAGCAGGCGGTCAAGGGAGAGGCAGGGAACAGCCCAGAGGATGAGGAGGAACTCCAAATACAACGGATGGCGAAGGTGGGAGTAGAGGCGAATGGCCCGTGAGGACTTCACAGCCAAAGGGTCACCCATGCCCAAGCAGTAGTAATAAACCTGGAGGGTAAAATGAGAACAACATCGATTTACTGTACAGGCACCCCCAAATTTTAGACATGGCCAAGGCAGCCTTGGACTCTCTGCAGATTCCAGGGAAGAACAATGTGATTCCCATTTACAGCAAAACGCCAAGGGCTATTTTCTCCCAGGCCTTGGGCCAAGGTTGTAGTTGAGCCCCTGCAGGATGTATTGTTTGTTACAGAGAGCTGGTCTTCTGGATGGATATGATCATTTTATTTTTTATCATTCCCGCTTTTTTAAGTGTAAGCTGCCCAGAGTCATCTGGAGTCGGGCGGCTTCTAAACTGCATTAATAAAGTGATGCTTGGAAGAAATGTTGACACCCTGAGGATACGCAGGGCTACATCAAATGTCAGAATCTAGCCATCATGTGCTATAATGCTTTTCTTGCATGGAAGGTAAGAACTGGTCTGCTAGTCTAAATCCACACAGTCCAGCAGTGGCCTCTTCTCTGGCCTAGCTTAGTAGCAGCACACATGCTTTGCGGTTCTTCCCATGATCCTGCCACCAGGATTTTGGGCAGTGTGATCATTAACCCCAGAAACCTTTCCCAAAGTAAAGGGGAAAAAAATATATGGTCCCCTGCCCATCACAGACTCTGAGATAAATCAATCGCACTCCTCCTGGAAGTTTCCTCCCTTGCTGCAGACAAAACTGAGCGAGACAGGCAACGCTCTGAGTCCCTGAGGAGCAGATTCCTATGTTCAGCCAACGGGCCAACTTGGGCTGTTGTTCTCCAGTCATTAGTATTCAGTGGCTCTCTAAGCACAGAAGATTATCCAGCAAGCATAGAAGGATCCAAGAAAGCTGCCAATTCAAGCTCAGGGGTATCTGCAGGGTATCGAAAAATCCAAGATGGTGGCCACAAACATGTGATCGGAACCCATATCACTTATAAAAAAGGGTAGGGTGTTGATCACGTGGTGGTGGCTCCCATCTTGACTTTTTTGACTCCCTCCTTGCAGGCACCTCTGCCCAAGCAGCTGCTCTTGCCATCTGATGAGGTCATCCTTGAAACAGGGAAGGCTATGTTATGGCAGACTGACCCAATGCAGAAATGTTGGGTTCACAAATTGTACTAAAACATTCTGGGTCTTGTTTGAGCTTTGACTGTGCGGTGCCCATCCTATAAATCGTGGCTTTATCACCATGTGCTTCTTTAGCATGTTATTAATAAACAACAACAATGAAATAAACTTCTGTTAACCCAGGCGACTGGGCATAAAACGTGTGAACCCTGAATGAGTTTTTGCTTCTCATTTGGAGCCAAACTGACCTCAGGAAGAGGTCAATAAAAGGTCCAGACCCAAAACTACTTTGGGCCCACCATATTTTTATTTCTCGAAATGCATAATGTTGCCTGCAGCCTTGCTCACCAAATGCAGAAACATGAAATGGAAAACAAATACAGTACAGTACCTGTTTGACCCCCATCAGTTCTGCATAATCAAAGATGAGGATGATGCTAAAGATGATTAGCCAGGAGATGAAATGGAGGATAAAGCAGATGAGTGGAACCCAAGTGATCCATGGCTCAGTATTCGTATTCCAGAGCATAGGACCATCCTGTACTGGCTGCCAATACCTCATCAGCAACTACATTAAAAGGGAAAAATTACATTACTAGCAGGCACTGCAAGGATGTTTAATATGGCTGCATGCAGGAAACTCCAGGTCATGCGGGATATGAATCTGTTAGACATATCGTACAAAGTAATGCAAGTTTAAATGCAAGTTAAGGTTCTAGTCTTCACGATTATCCATTTTTGAAAAAATTGCCCATCTCTCCTAGCTGAGAGAGAAACCCAACTGTACTTTGCAATATAATGAAGAATAAAAGCTCCTAGCTCTTACAACTTCCCACTTTATTCCTCTAAGTCAATATTCCTACCTGAAGGGTTAAGTCTGTGCAAAAAACATAGATAGATCTTTGCAAGACCCCAAAGCAGTTGCAGGTCCAATGTTTGACCCAGTCAGAAGCCATAAGGCTGTGCTGCAGGATAAAAAGGACAATCAGGCCCACATCCACTGTTAGGGGGTGCAGAATCTTGGGATCCCTTAGGGCAGTTGTCCACTGAAGATTAGAGGCGACATCTGCAAGAGAAAATTTGTGGAGTCTTGCAACCTGTATACAGCAGGATATAAAACAAGAACTACCAAGACTGTTGTCTACATCAGCCTTTCGACCCTACAGCAGTGCTTCTCAATCTCAGCATTAAGAGATGGGTGGACTTCAGCTCCCAGAATTCCCCAGCTTCCTTGGGAGTTGAAGTCCACCCATCTTAAAGTTGCTGAGATTGAGAAACACTGCCCTAGAGGAACCGTTGAAATAATTTTGAGGTCTCAGTGAACCCCTGCATAAAAATTATTATATCTACAGCCAGTACAGAGGGGTGCTTTGGGGCTACCAAAAGAAATCCTGAAGTCTCATGTAGTCCATAGTCTGTCCATCCCAGTCTGAAGAACTGCTGGGGATGTGGAAGGACGCTAGCATTTAGAAATCTAATGTTTTTTTTTTTTGGCTCATATTTTCCAAATTGCATCTCAACAGCTGACTCAGAAGCACAGAATATTCATTCCAATTGCCGAAAGCATAAAAGGACTGTAATGTTTGTAATCCAAAGCCAGTAAAAGAAGGGAAAATTGTCAGTTGGATTAGCATAAAAACTTTGTACAGGCCTTAGGGATAGGAATAGCTTCCTGGGGCTAAGTGTGGGCTGAAGCTGATCTCCTCAAAATCAGCCCTAATCCTTCATCAAATTCCCAGAGCTCTAAGAGACACATAGAAGCAGGATAATGCCAATTATTGTACCGTTACTGCAAAGTTTTAACCTAACAGCTTTGGGGGGGGGGGCAGCAAGAAACAATAATTCCTTGAATGACACAGTTTGAATGACACAGTTGAATGACACAGTTTGACTGCTTCCAACCTCATAAGAAGCTGATTTGACAATGGTTTGTTAAATACACCATCACTGGTTGGATTCACACAACAGTCTAAGCCACGATGTGGATTTCCTGTTTGGGTTTACTATATTGTCAGAACACAGCCAATGGTAGGTTCGGTCATGCAATCCATTACTGCAGTGTTTCTCAACCTTGGCAACTTTAAGCTGTGTGGACTTCA